TCAAATTCTGCATTGAGTCCTGCAAGAAAATCATAAACTCTATCTTTTTCAATAAAGTTCTTTAGGATCGCAGCATCCTCCGGACATCTGGTTTCAATGCACCTATAGTGATCAAGTTCTTGCCACAGATTTTGTAGAATGGTGGCATATTCCGTCACCGTCTTACTCCCCTGCTTCGTGCTTCCAACTTTGACTTTAACTTCAAAGATTTGGGCCGCGTCACGAGCTTTGGAGTAGGTTTGTCTGGCAGCATCCCATATGTCCTTTGCCGTCGAAAGGAACATAAAAGTATCACTAATTTCTGGAGTCATGGAATTCCACATCCATGACATAATCATGGAGTCTGCTTCATCCCATGCCCCAAATTTGGGATATCCTTCTTTCGGTCCTCCTCCAAGGAGATGATGTATTTTACCTTTCCCCTTTAAGTAGGTCTTCACAAATTGAGACCACTTCAGGTAGTTCTTCCCATTTAGACGATAGGAAGGTTGCATGCTTTGAAGGTCACCTCGTCCTTGGTGCACCAACGATTCCTCAGTTTGATCAACACTTTGAGAGGAGTTAATTTCTGACATTGGAAAGCAATTTAGGATTCCTAGAAATTTCTTTGTTCGACAATGAAGGTCGAAAGGTAAGAGTTTTTTTTTTCCCGAAAATAAGCCGAACTGGCTGAATCTTAAAAAGACTCGGATTGAACTAGGGCACGGCCGAGCCTCTATATGTCCACCCCCAAGTCGCACGCTAACTTCCTCCCGCGAGTCGCAGACGTGGATCGAGCTTCCGTGATCGATCTATAAGAGAGGGGCGGGTCGAGCGGCTGCCTTCGCTCCTTCCACGATCTTTCGTCCCTTTCGGATCGGAATGCTTGTCCTCCGCTCCTTTGTCCTTCCGCAAAGGATCCGCCGCAAGCTTTCTTCCTCGGTCGTTTCTCCTGGGCGGCTTCTCTCCGATGCTTGATCGGAAATCAGTCGGCGTCGTTGCTTAGCAGGAGGCGTAGAGATTGCGCGCGTGGCTCCTTTGGCTTGCTCGTGGCTGTTCGACTATCTGCCGTTCCGATCGAAAGTTCGATCGAGTCACCCGTACCGTCCGGCATATACGGTTGGCTGCGATCTGAGTCTCGGATGCCTCGAGCTTCTTTTCTCTTCCTCCTCTGACGATCTAGGATCGTTCTTTGACGGCAATTAAGGCCGTTGGCTCTGATACCATGTTAAAACTGAGAATTTGAGAGGGAAAAAGCTTGTAGTTGTTCATTACACTCTTCCCTATTTATAGATCTATACAAGATATCCTAATGCGGAAATAATAAATTGCAGATTTAATACATAAATAAGAAATAAAATCTTTCCTAAATTCGTTCCCTCATTATGGCGTGATCCATGAGAGTATCCCACGGATTGATCTTTGTGTCCGTCGGATCCTTTGTACTAGGAACGGCTGGATTTCAACAAAAACAATATCAAAATGCCACAAAAATAATGAAACTTTCCAGGGCATAAGTTGACACATCCCCCTAAAATTTTCAAGTGGTTTCAAACCCTATAATCACATATATCATCCACATCAAAAGGCTAGAGTCCGATTTAGGATTTTTAGTCTTAGGTGCTGTCCTTGCTTGGCTGTCCCCTATATTTACTTTTTCCCTAGATCCACCACTCCAAAATGTATTCTAGAGCTTTCACACTTTTAATAACATTCTTTGAAGCCTCCAAAATCATTTATCCATCACCAAGAGGCCATTCACCACTGAGGCTCCACCAAATTTGGTATAGACCACAAGTTGGAGGAGGTAAGCTTCGAAGGATTCACTTGGAAAAGGAAATTTTCGCCATTTGATACTTCAATAAATTCCTCATGGAATTTTATGAAGACTTTATTTATACCATTAAAAGATTTAAAGATTTCTTAAATGAAAGCTGTAGTAATGTAAGGGATACTTAGGTAATTCTGAGAGAAGAAAATAAGCAAACAAATTATGGGATAGACAGGCAGCCATTCTTCTCCAAGATATGAGGAAAGATTATCTACTTCAAGAGTCGAATCTCCCTATACGTGAAGCAACACCATGTGCAACATTTGCATGTACGCCTACTCAACAAGTGCCTTTTGGGATCCCCATAATTTCTACCAACAACAAAGGCCATAACTCTATAGAGGAAAGTTCTTCAAAGTTGAGAAAAATTGATGCAGAACCAATTTTTCTTAAATTGGATGGATCTTGACAACTTTTGAATCTCACTATTATGGATGGTCTCTTCCTTATACACTATTTGTAGGATTTCAAATATTGCTTAATATCTATTTGTGATCCTGCTCATAAAGTTTCTGGATCAACCACATGAAGTTAGACAAGAAGAAATCTGGACCTGTCAAAAGGAGCATAAGAAAGACATCAAATTAGAAATATTTGTCAGGAGTTTTCGCTTAGAATTTGAGTATTTTTATATGTTGTAATTTTTATTTTGTAAGATTATAAATGGTGTATTTTCATTTCATAGATCTTGGTAAGAAAATTAAAAATTTAAATTTCATTGAAATTCTAAATTTCAAATTATGAGGGGATTATTATATAGCTTTATGAAAAGATGTTTAATTGCATTAATCCAATAATTAAGACACTTTTTCACAGATGATAAGGGCACCAAGGGGTTTTAGAGTGGAATCTCCCTCCAGTGACTTGGTGGATGACCACAATTTGAAGGATTCCATCAACTTATTGATTAGGTAAGTGATAGGTTTATCTTTCTTTTTTGGTAATCTTTTATTTTTTTGCTATAGAATCATATATCTATCCTTCACATTTTCACATATTTATCTCAATTTTTCTACCAGAAAACCCTAGTCAAATCCCCCTTTTGAGCTTTAGAGCAAGGCTTGGTGAAATAGGACTTAGTCTTGTTCCTTGGAGTTTTTGAACTATCAAAATCCCTTGAAAAATTGAGATAATCTCTATACCATGTACAGGAGTTTTTCTAAATTTTCAAAGTCCTAAACTCCATTTCCAAAGCTAAGCACATCACCTTGGGCTATTTTTTAGACTGGTTTGCTGTCGGATCTAGTTTAGTTCAAAATTTGAAAAAAAGTATCTAAAAGGCTATAAAAAATTATGAAATTTTCTACCACATAAGTAGATACATTCCCTTAAAATTTTGAAGTGGTTTCAGGTCCTACAACACCAATATCATCGACATTAAAAGCCTAATTTCAGATAAATGATTTTTAGCCTTGGGAGCTATCCTCACTTGGCTAACCCCTATCTTTCTTTTTTACCCTATATCCACTTTTACTAACATAATTTGAAGACTCCAAAGTCATTTATCAACCATCAAGAGGTTAATCCCCATTAGACCTCCACTAGAAGATTTAAAAGCTTTCGAAGGACTGAATTTCTTCATGAACTACATTTTTTCATTCAGAAACATTTATAAAGCTTCTTCAATGCTTTTAGGATGTTCCAAGTTTGAAAGATTTATAGTAAAGTTATAAGATTTAATATATAATTTGTCATAAAAAATAGGAAAATGTGATGACTAGTCGAGTATTGGGGGTGAGTTCTTATACATTATTTTAAGAGCAACAATACAAATTTTCAGATCATCCTCAGAATTAGTATCACCTTGAACTAATGAAGCGCAGTGTTAGGATTCATGTCAAATGTTGTATTTGGTTTAAGAGAAATGCTTTGTTCTATCTTGTTAGTTGAATATTTCTGTTGTATGGAATAGACAGTCTCTTTGTACCTTGCATTGTATGTGATCTTCGAAACTTTCGGGGCATTTGAAGGAGCGAGATCTAGATGGACATTATTCAAATAGGTTTGGGGAAGTAGTTGGATGTGAAACCAATGAAATATAATAATTATTATTATTGCAAAACCCAAATTCATAGAGAGAGTTGATTTTTTCCTCTTAAATGTGAGTTGTGGGAAAGTTACTTAATTTTCAAAGAAGGTTATTACATTTATGGTGGTGTAATATATATATATATATAGGAAATAATATTTATTATTTTATTGATTAAGAGAGTAGCCAATGAAAATGCATTTTATAATTTTGGGGTCTATTTTGCTTCATTGATGTGAAGGTTTATGCACAAAATTAGAGCAGTTGAACACCTTGGGAGAAATTGTAGAGATAAGTTTTTATCTTAGATATTCTTGGGTGAGAGTTTGTCATGGAGTTTTGAATTTTAAAATTCCTGATACATACGATTAATGAAACCTACAACTACAAGGACAACACCTCCTAATAATATTTTGGGTTATTATTAGTGATACCTCCTCAATAATGGAATGAAAACATTCTTTCTTATATTGGTTATGAGGACTTGAACTTGGGTTTAGAATTGAGCCTTTATAAAAGAGTGAAATTATTAAAAAATATAATTAGCTTAAGGCATGTCTTTAATTAGAAAGATTCAAGTAATTTTGATGTGATCATTAATGAAAGATATACACCACCTAACACCTAACATATTGTTCATCGAAATTGGCTATAAATTTCCCTATGGATAGTTGTGAATGTTTAGAAGGTTTTATAAGGATGACTAGGGTAAAATATTGCTAAAAAGCGAGGGAAAGTTTTTTTCTAGCATACGAAATTTGCATGATCAAGGCAAAAAAATCACAAGATGCTTGTTTTTTCGTTAGATAACGATATATATTGAGCATTTTTCTCGCCTTTTATGATTCTTTTATTATTTATGAGATAGAGGCCAACATTATCCTTTGCCTTGCAAATTGTCCGTCATAAGTTTCCATTTTTTAAATCAGAATGAGCATAAAAAATATTGATAACATAATTCATATTTTGATAAGTTATTGATTGATAATAATAAGTTATATATGAAAGTCTAGGAACTAAGAGCATTGAGTCGAGAATTAGAGAGCTAGTGACGTTGATAATTTTAATGCAGGTACTTGCAATTTTGACCCATCGAAAATTTTGACTATAAAATTCTTTAAACATGTATGAAATATTTGAAATATGGCGGTATCACCTGTAATGTTATTAGATGCTCCTATGTCCACGGCACCAATTTGTGAATTTTTTTTTGGGGACATTGAAGGCATTCAAGGCCATACATTATTGAGCAATCACACAGATGATGATTTGGAGGGTTTATTGTATAACAGTATTTCCAGGTGATCTTAATTCATGGTAGGATATGGCACTAGAGCAGGTTCTTCTTTCCAAAGCCATTTCATATTTAACAATCATCATGGTTTAAATAAATAACTCTTTAGAGGCAGGTTGATGAAGATTTATAGTTTTGAGATGATGGGGAAGATAGAGAAGTGTGAAAGATATAAAATGTAGATGGAAAAAAGATAGAGAAGTTTGGGAAAAAAGATGGAAAAGTCTGGCTATTATGATGACATGTTAAAAAAATATGAGAGATGCGTACATATATTATTTTTATTCCAATGGGTAGGATGGGTATTATATTTATTTAAAATATAGTCTATAAAGAGAAGATAAATAGGATAGTAATTAATATACTTTATTACAATTTATTCAAAATTTAAAAATTCATTCCATTCAAGGAAATAGTTGTTGGTGGATTGCTTATGAAAGATAGGAGCTTGGCGGATCGCTAAGGTGGTTGATCACATGGCTAACGAGCATTATATACAACAGAGGATGGGTTTGCAAGGTTGGTGGAGTTTGACTGGAATTTTGTATGCGCTGTCGATAGCCAAGGTGGCGCGGACTTAGGATTTCCATAATCTTCAAATGCAAATGTTGATGGTTAAGCTACATTCTTTCTCATCCATCTATCTATATGATGGAGATCAAATTTCTCTTTTTGCCTGATATATAGCCACCTTCTAATGCTTTAATATAGTCATGTTAGTGATTTTGATTTAAAAATCATCAATTTGCACAATTTTTAAGGGCATTATTAGAAATGGTTGGCTTTCTCATTGTTCTCTACAATATAATTAGACACGACTTCTTTATACGAAATAGAGTGAAAGATACACAAGTCTAAGATTTATGACTCCATTGTACTTTGATCCGAAAGATTAATTCATCTTAAATCATTTTTTTATGACTGCATGCACCAGCCCTTCTATCTAATTTTGTTTCTGTTCAATTTTCTTATGTGGAAAACCTCTTCCTCATATGTTTAGCCCTTCCACATTGACAACATGCTTGATTTGACTTATTTGAGATTTGAATTTCCCACAAGTATATTTCTTTTGGACAATGTTCATACCAGCAAAAGAAGTGGAACAAGTAGAACAAGAGCCTTAAGTTGATTATTTACTTAGTCTTTGAATCTCTTTACTTAGCATTGATTTCAGACTTTGTTGAGTTTCAATTTCATTGACCATAAGAACTATTGACCATTGTTATCAATTTGATCTTCTTAATCAATCGACATTAAGCTCAAGGTACAAATTCACTATGTTAATAACTAAATTGACTTTGGCTTAGGTTGGACTCATTGATATGTTATATTGTAGATGCACCTTCCATCATCCAAATATTTAATTTTTTTAAAGTTACCTTATTTATCACAAATGACTTTGCATACCTTACCTACATAATTTTCATCACTCCAGCTTGGCCTTCTCATGCAGCATGTTAAAGGCAGCATTTTTTTGCAAGTAAAAACATCTATCTATCCAAGGATCATAATTATCTTGGCTCATGGACGTTTGCTTTGTCTTTTGAGATAGGAAGATGAAGCTGGTTCTTGTACAAATAGTGTTCAATTTCATATGTTCTAGCATCGAAGGTCTTTTTCAGCTAATATGTCTGTCCTCACCAATCCATCCTCATCAAACATTGCTCGTTTTTTTGCCTTGGAACCTCACAACTTAACGTGAGCAATACAAGGAATTACTTGTTTAGGTGAAAGTATATGTTCAGGATCACAGGGAAAACTTTTTCGACTATATAGTTAGGAGAATATTGTATTTTCTCATTAAAATTGTTTTTTAAATTATGGATGTGATTCATAAAATATGTAACTGTAATTTAAGAGATTTATAGTAGTTTATATCAAAAGATCCTCAATTCAAATCCTTACTCATGCCTGCGGAAGCTTTTCTAGTACAATGTACTTGCCTTCTGTCTCAATTGTTTTTTGCACCACTCTTGCCTTAGGCATCATTGCACTTTTTTAGGATGCACCTGAGCAAAAAATAAAACTTGATATGAATCCAATTCGTCCCTTATAATATTCTTCCACCCGGTATTCCATAGACTATTTTTTTTTCTTGCTACTTTGATTCCAATGCTTACCTTCATGTTCATACATATATGTAGCTCAACATGGATAAAAACCAAAATCGAGAAGCCTGAAAGAAGTGCCTGATAAGTAGGAGGTTGAATGTTTCACGAATAGAAAGCTAACGTAAATGTTACCCATGCTGATGATAGGCTTGAGTCATGGGAAATGGGATAGCTCTTGTAAATCCATCCTGAAATCTTACACCTAATTTTTTGAACTTTTATTTATTAATGCAAAAAAAAAGATTAAGTTATGCTCATCCAGGAGATTGAGCATTTTTCATCAAATCAACTTAAAATCCTTTTTTTCTTTTCTTGTTCACTTCATTATTATTTATAAGACCATTAGAAACCCGCTCCATAATTTACAAGGTTGTGAAAATCGGATCGTATATAGAACCAGGAGTGGAGGTTTATGTCCGATGGTTCAATCATGGTTGAATAAGATGAAATAATAAATATTAAAATTATTTAAATAAT